TTGGGCCATCTGTCGCACCGCCTCCTTTTGAGCCCTTCTTTGCTTTGCCTCCTCCGGCGGCAAATGTTCTGCAGCCAATCACTCTGGCTATCGATCTCTTTGGGGAAGGTGACAGTTTTGAACGACCTCATGTAACTAATCGCCATTTGTTTGCACTCTGGTGCATAAAAAATAATGCAAGTGAGATAGCGTAGCATTAGCCATATTTTTAGAAGATATTGAATGCTTTAGTTAATATAATTTACATTATGAAACAAAAACAACAATAACAATACCAAGATAATCCCAACTCCGAGGTAGTGCAAATGGTTCCTTTCTCTTGAGGTTTGCCCTATCCGTGCTTTCTTAGGGATGAAGGCTATTAAAGGATTATTAGCTATTTAAATGGTTTCCAAAACCCAATCATTTTCATTTCAGAAAGGATTAAATGATTAAATAAGAACACAAAACGTTTTCATTTCAGAAATCCCTTTTAAATTATACTCCGTATATATCAACCTCAATAGTTTCAGGAATCCGTTCAAAACCAGACGCTCAACCTTTAACATGGTTTACTCAAACAAACGAAAGTTTCGAAATAGGTGAGTAACGGAAACGCATTTACAATTGCATTTGGTAGTGTGTCAAACTCGGCTTTTGGAATTAGCCTATTTCAAATAGGGGTGTACACCGGTCCAAAACCGGACCTGATCGGACCAAAACTAGAAAAACTGGAAAACCGGAATTGCCCAAAGTACAGGACCGGAAACCGGACTTGTTAGATTCTGGTCTGGACACCTGTTTTTCCCGGTCTTGTCCGGGTACAAACCGGAAAACCCGGATCTAGCAATAGAAATAATTTTCAGTTACAAATGAAAGAAAACTTGACCCTATTTTTTATAATTAGTGTCATGTTCCAAATGTTACCATTCAAGTCTCAAACACAAGTACATGAAAACAAAAATTAAATTTCAATAACAAATTCAAATTCACAAAATACTAAGAGCATTATTCATAATAAACTTAAATTAGAAGATAATTGAGTTAAAGAACTCGTGCCTGCAATTTTTTGAGCTTTAGGAACTGAAAATTATTAAAAACTTGAAGTGATTTATATAAAAAATGACTAAGGAGCTTCAAGAACCTGACTCCAGTATGCTCTATTCCTACTTTTAGTAACAATAGCAAGCTTAAAGTTGAAATATGCACAGGTCTAACACAAAAATGGCAAAATTGATGTAGAGCCAGGCTTCACTTGCATTAATTATATGATATTTTACATGCAAAAAGATAATACAAATAAAAACAGGAGATCCAATAAACTATGAAGTAATTCAACATCTATAGAAGATTGTGAGATTCACCAAAGCTGAAAGATAGAAAAGAAAATTAAAAAAAATAGAAAAAAACCGAAGAAGTTTAAATCTTGCCTGTGTGAGTCGTACAGTCGACCGAGTCAGTTGCGTCGCGCCGCCGCCGGAAGATCTTTAGCTCCGTCTGTTACTCCCGTCGGTAGAAACTGGATGCTCGAATCTGGGATGCTCCTACTTGCGATCGGAATTTGCGATAGAGTAAGAGAGTTGCGATAGTTTCTCCGTCTTTGTTTTGAGAATTGAGGGATTTGGGCCACTACAAGAAATGTAACCTTTTGTAGCCAAGTTTTAGTAGCAAAATCAATATATAAAAATTGAACAAATATTTGTAGCAAATAGGATTTTGCCATAAAATATTAGACATATTGTGGCAATGGGATAAAATTGCTACTATATCTAAATGATTGGACTCAATTTTCGCCCATCTTAGGCCCATCAATCCAAATACCGATTAAAAACCCAAGAGGAAAATAATTCGAGACTTCAGTTCTTCTTCGATCCAGGCAGTTACTCCGGGGAAGCGAGGGTCAACGATGGTGAGAAAACAAAGGGGATACGGTCTCAAACCTTAGCCTCGAGGCTAATTTTCCGAGGGTGGGAATCGAGGGTGAGCCTTCTACTGGGCGAGCAGTGGCGACTAGCTAGTTTCTGGCGTCAATCGCCGCTACAAGATAGGCGATAGAGAAGGATGGATGATGGAAATTTCAACATCAAATCCATGAACTTCGAGCGTCCAATAGTTTTTGGCCGGTATGAACTGTAAATCTGAGTTTTTATTCAATTCTTTCCTAGTTTATGTCCAATTTTATGTCTATTATCTATTTTAGTACTTTTGTGTGTATGTGTTATAGTTTGGAAGGATTCATATTTGATTTTGATTGGGTTAAAAGTTGAATTAGTTTGTAATTTTCTCAATAAAGATCTGAGTTTGGATTTAAATTAAGATTAAAAGTTGAGCTTTGATATTATTTGATTTACGTATACTTTTTCTGATATTATGTAATGAGCTTTGAGTATATGTTTGAATGCAAGTATATGCTGCCTGTATTACATTTTTAACATAATATCTCGCTATCGTTATGACATTTTGAATTGTGGGATATCTTTTAGTAGATTTTGATTATGAGTTGTTTCTTGATTTGTTTTGTAGGTTGTCCTGGAAGCGTCTCTAATTAACAAATTTGGGAAAGGTTGTTTCCTTTATTGTTATCAATTCAACACTATATCGCATTGCAGCACCCTGCTACTACCTCACAAATCTATTATAATAGTTATAATATTTAATTGATTGTTTAACTTAGCTTCAAAATGAATATTAGGATGACTACAAAATTTCTTTTTAAGATCTTAAGGTTGTGTTATACAAGGAATTGATTATGTTGTGAATATTTTATTAATACTTCTAATGAGATCTTTTTATCTTCATACAAAGAGAAAGAGTGATGGAGGGGAGAGGAGTTTTAAAGGATGCACACCTATGAATGGAGTAACTCCCTAAACTCAATCTAGATATTCTTTACATTAAATATCACTATTTTTACGAAAATATCTATTTACAATAAATGTTCATTCTACTGCTCCGGCTATTGATACCATTTAGGTTAGTACCAAAGAGGACTCAACTTTGAATCCTTACCATACTACTGAAATGGTTTTGCTTATTAAATGTGCTAAAAATATGTGTGTTGATAAGTGTGATGTCCCTAAAATGACTTTGCATCTCATGCTTTGTCAGTCCATGAGTTTTTTTGCAAAAATGTCTAGTTCAAGTAATGTTCCAAACTCAATTGATGATGCAAAATCTGCTGATAGTAACGTTGATGGCAATCATAGGTCATCTGCACAATTGGAACACACTGTTGTATTTCATGTTGTCCAAAAAGTGATGACCCAAACTTTGTTGTCCTAAATAATGTTGTTCCAAAGTCTGCAAGCTACGTTACATTTTGAAATCTATGTTTAGTGTTTTATTTTCTTGACTTTGGCAGGATTCCAGATATTGATCAGAAGCTTATGAGTCCTCTATGTGATGCTCTGAGAAGCTGAAGCCATTCTTATGTTGTACGAATTTGTGGTGGCGCATGTGCTTTGGAAGCTGAGCTACATCAACTTAATGAGAAAAGAAGAGTTTTCAGTTGGCTAATTGGATAGGATTTGTTGCTGAACAAAGAGTTGGAGCCGAGAAATGGTAATTGTAAGTGTTTGCTTTTATCTTTATTTTATGTATACCTAACCAATTATATATATATTAACTAATATGCACTCATTTTTTGCTCAGATCTCATGTTCGTTTCTTCTTTTAGAATGGGTAAGCTACTTCATATCATTGTTTTTCTCATTCATAAAAAAGTTATTGTAATCATTACTATTATGCTATATGCTTATAATTAACAGCTCCAAATCCAAAGGCTTATGTAACATCTTAAACCAAAATCATAATATACTCATCTCTCAACTATCCATAGCGACTAAACTCATCTCTTTGGTCCAATCGAACCTATATCTAAGTCCATAAATCTTCTCAATGAACATTAAGCTCTGGTAACAATACATGAACTAGGATGCCCATTCTGCATAAACAATCTTTTTCAACCAATAAAACTGGTAAGTTCCAAATGCTATGTCCTTTGGTACCATGATACACAAAGATGGTTCCTACCATCTAAATATTCATCCTTAAATAGAAACCTACAATGGCAGTGAATAATATATTTGATGTAGCTTTTTAAACCAACCCATTTTAAGTTTATTCAAACGGATTGTCAAGGTGATCTTAATAATATCTAACCCTAATAGAGCTCGAGGCCCACTTCGTGATGCTCCTCATAAATTTATATACTAGTGTGAAATGAGAGGGATCTTAATCTTGAGTCTATTAATATCTCTTCCTTTTGGCAGTGCCATTATCTCCTAGTGTTGCCTAATGTTAATTTGATCTTCAGAGTTAACCATGTAACAGTTGAAGTTGTTCTGATATCATTGTCTCTATTGTTTATGCCACCATATATTTTAGCATCATACATGCGGACTTACTTGTAGACTCATCCACATTCTCTTGAATAGAGTCTTTTTGCACATAATTCCATCAAACAATGTTTTTTTCCAGCGGATCATGACTGCTTTCCGGACAACTTGCTTAAATGCTTATGATTGACTCTGATAAAAATGACTGTCAATTCACTCTTTCAGGCAAGTTGCTATGGAAGTTATTATTTTGAAGGGCATTAATTTAACTTCCAGCATATTATTTATGGAGTAAATACTATACTTCCATGTGCTGTGATACTCATTCTTTTAATTATTAGTTAATGTGGTGGTGTTTTGAGTACTTCAAGGTAGGATATGACACTACCCTATTGAGATAATTCCATGAGATTATTAATACATCTTGTATGAACATTTGAGTATTACTCCATCCATCTCATATACATATATATATATATATATATATATATATATATATATATATATATATATATATATATATAGCTGATCATAAAAGGGTTGTTGTCCATCTATGTTATCTTGAAAAATGAGATAACAAGGTAACTCCCAAACATGTCTATTACACTATTATCATGTGGAACATATTTGTTTCTTTTTCTGTGTTTTCTTTTGCCCTGGTTGCTTTAAACAGTTTTTAATTTGAAGAACTGCAGCAATACGTGCTATGTTTGCTCTAATCAATTTATACACTATTTGCTTTATACGTTCTCTGGTTGCTCTGGTCATTTACTACCTTTTTTTTATTAATTTTATTTTTTTTCATTTGCAGATCAAGACTCAATATGAGAGATATCGTTTAGTTTCCACTTTGGACGTGAACTACAATCAAGATAGAAGTGACTAGATGAAATGAAGAGATGGAGCTTAAATGAATATTAGAGGAAGCTTTTAGGATACTTTCGTCATAAAAAATGTTTATTATTACTATATTTATTTTATGTCAAAACCCTATTATATTAACAATTGTGAATCTTTGATTGTTTGGGATTGAATTATATCATATGTTTTGTTTCTAATATGAACATATGATTCTAACTTAGTATTTTATACTCCGTATTAGTTATTATTGTTTTTTATATCAAGTTGCATATATCATTAAATATAAAATGTATATGCAACAATAATTATAGCATTTATAATAATAATAGTAATAATAATAATAATAATAATAATAACAATAGCAATAATTTAATTCTCACTAGAATTAGGTTTGCCACAAAAAAGTGATAATTGTAGCAATTAAAATTTGCTACTAGACATGAATTTTTGTGGCAAAGTATAATTTGTGGCATCATAAATTTGCTACTAAATATGATTTTTTGTAGCAAATAATTAATGGTGGCAACTAAAATATGCCACTAAAAATGAGCTTTTGTGGCAAAGTTTTATTAGTGGCAAATCATAATTTGCCACAAAATCCTTTTGTAACAGAGTATCTGTGGCAACCTTGTGGTAAATTTCAAAATTGCTACAAATAGTTATTGTGGCAAATTTCTTATGTTTTGTGGCAAAATTTGGTGCCACAAAATGTCAAGTTTTTTGTAGTGGGCATTTCGGGAATTTGAGCTAGAAAATAGTGTGGGCTAGAAATAGTAAATGGATTGGGCTGGATGGGTAGAAATGTAAAATAGGCTAAATCCGGTTTACCGGTCTAACCCGGTAAAATTTCGAGTCAAGACCGAAATGAATGGAATTTTACAGGTATAAAAATAAAGGACCCAAGCACGGACTTACTAGAAAGAGGTCCAACCCAAAAGTAGTTATACATGTTCAGTTTATAGGTTCGACCCGAATTATGTATAGCCCTAATTTCAAATATTAAAATCAGTAGCCTTTAGAAGAAGCTAAATTTCCAATGTAGATAATAGCACTGTGATAATACCCAAATAGACAACAATGCTAAGCTGATCTCTAAAAATCAGATTCACATGAAGGCTTGAAACACAAATAACTAAGAACACAAATCACTGGATCTAAGCAAATTAAGAACAAATTGTTTGATCCAATCTAAAAACTTGTAAATGACCTACTAGATCATATCTTTGCATATTCAAGTTTTGTTTATGATGAAGATTCCAGCCCAGCTCTCCGAATGGGAGATGCTCCTTAGTTCTCTCTTGTATTTTCGTCGCAACGAAGAAGAAAAACGGAGGACACGTAGAAAAACGAGGGATACTCCTTAGTTTTATACTCCATGTAACATTTCATAATCAAACACAGTGAAAAAGGGGGATACATTATAGATATATACCATGACCAAGAGATTTTATCGCATGCACATATCAGATCCAGCTTCTTCAGTATCTTCTTCAGTTTCTTTTATCGAAAATACAGAGAAGGAGAGAGCTGAGGAGTAGCTGGTTCGGAATCTACATCATAAACAAAGTCTGAGTCTGCAAAGGAATGATCTAGTAGCTTATCTATAAGTTTTTAGATTAGATTGAGCAATTTGTTCTTAGTTTTCTTGGATTGAATGGTTTGTGTTCTTAGCAGTTTGTGTTTCAAACTTGCGTGTGAATCTGATTTTTAGAGGTCAGAGTAGAGTATTGTTGCCGATTTGGGTATCCTCACAGTATCTATTATCCAAATTCGAGATTTAGCTTCTTTTGAAGGTTACTGATTTTAATCATTGAAATATGTTAATGCCAAAATTCGAGATTGGAACATATGATCTTTAATTTAGAAGAACTACAATGGTACCACTAGACCATAAGGTGTTTTGCTACATTTTCCCTCTATTTCAATCACATCACATAAAATCTAACTTAATACCCATGTTTTCCTTTGTTAACACCCTTGTTTTTTTATTTGTGACTTTGTTTTGAAACAGATCGAGTATTTTAATAAAAATGGTGTTAGGAGATCTCAAGGTTTTGACACCAAATACCAAGGCCAATACAGAGAGACACACAAACATTAAATATTTATATTAGTTTTGGTGTGTATTTGGTGTAAATGCTTGTCATACATGTTTAGTCCATCAATGGGGACGAGAGGAGAGGCAATGGGATGTTTGAATGTTTCCTAATGGATCGTAGGGACAAAAGTGGAATTGCAGTGTGTGGAAGCAAGGCGAGCGGAAAGTCAAGCTAACAGTCGTCTCCCCAGTCTTTCTTCCCCCACCTGTCTCCCCCTCCCCTTTTTTGCTTTTTCTTTTCTTATTTTTGTTAATCATTTGTTTATATAACTTAGACATCTCACCTCATGTTTTATAGAATATATGATATATTTTTTAATCTATAAATTTTATTTGGAAATTAAATGACATACCATTATTTTAATAAATTAAATTAAAAATGAATTATGTCAACCCTCGCTATTCTAGACAAGACAATAATTAAAGGGGCTGTTTAAAATTCAATGATTACGATTCATCAAATTTAACATAATCAATGATTAAAATTCATCAAATTTAGGGGCGGTTTGTTTCAGCCACTTAATGGTTCAGATGTCTGAATAGTTCTACATTTAATGGCTCAGACTAGGGGTGAGCATCGGTTCGGTTCGGTCGGTTTCGGCCCAAAACCAAAAAAACCGAAAATTAAAAGTACCCATAAAAACTGACCTAACCGAACCGAATTAAAGCGAGAACCGAACAAACCGAACCGAGTAAAACCCGATCAGGTTTGGTCGGTTTGAAAAAACCGAAATTTTCAATCAAAAAACCTACTGCCTACTGCAAATATTGAAATATTTCTCAAATTTTTTAAAGAAAAGTAATAGCAAACACATATTATAACAGCTCCAAAATGATAGCTCCAAAATGACAGCTCCAAAATGACGAAATTAATATTGGTTTTACAATATGATTTAAAATGAAATATATAAAAATTTTGAAATATATGCAGTGGTTTGTTATTCAAGAATGAAACGAGGAAAACAAATCTTAGGGTGAATTTTAAATTTGAGTTTTGAAAATAAAGCAAAGAAAATATACTCCGTGTAATTGCTGGGAAAACTTGAAGTATTTGGCATTGATTTAATGTGCTAAAAAGTAAAGAACAATCTTTATTTGACAATCAGAAGAAAAAAATCATTGGGACGAAAAGAATATGAAAAAACGGAGATGGTGACGCCAGAACGGAGATGCACAAACCTGGTGATCGCCGATTGGTGACGCCGGGACGGAGATGGTGATTATGAGATCTTGGCGTGAATGGCGTCGGCTTGAGAACGCAGGAACTGGAACTGGGAGAATGTGAGATGGTGATTGCCGATTGGTGAGGACCGAGAAGAGAACGACACGGATTTGGGACTTTCTGCCGACTGGGGAGACGGGTTGGGAAATGGGTAGGGAGAAGGGCTGGGAATTGGGGTTTTTTTTAAAATGGGCTATAACTAAAAGATTTAGTCTGGGCTTACATATATTTAATACAGATATTATGGGCTCGGTTATTCGGTCGATTTCGGTTAACATTGCCCAAAACTGAAACCGAAACCGATAACCGAATTAACCGAATATTTTTGAGATTAAAACCGAAAACCAAAACCAAATTTAAAATTGCAGTCAGTTCGGTTAAAGTGTATCGGTTAATTGGTCGGTTCAGTTAAATTGCTCACCCCTAGCTCAGACTGTTTGTTTCAGCCTATTAATGGTTCAGATGTCTGAATGGTTCAAACATTTACCTCTGAATGCTTAAATATTATACAGAGTCTGAATGGTTAAGATCTCTTATTTGAATTGATCATACATTTGTCTCTGAATAGTTAAGCAATATATTAGCTCTTAATGGTTCAGACCTCTTACTAGTTCAACACTTAATGGTTCAGACCTCTTACTGGTTCAACACTTACCTGTTCAGAAGTTGCCAAACAGCCCCTTAACGGATCCTTATGAATGACTCCCAAAGATGATCACGCAATAACGTCACCTAACTCTCTTTCAATATTTGTTTCTTTTGACATTTTTCAGTTAAACTAAACAAATTTCTCATCTGTTTAATTTTTCAGTCAAGCTAAACAAATATTAATCAAAATTTAAATAAAAAACTACTCCGTATATTGCATATTAATACGGACTATAATAAAACAAATTTTTAAACGAAATTTGTGGTTAAGACATTTGAAAACAAAAAAAAAACTAGAATTTCAAAAACATGGTAATACAACAAAGCACTATGCTCAAGGCCTGAACTATCAATAACAAGACATTTGCTTAGCTAGGAGAGAGCTATCACAGATGACAGTAAAAGGATGACTCTTGTAAAGAAGACAATACAAAAAATAAAAATAAAAATAAAATACAAAAAAAACTGAAATTCTTAGAGGTCATCCAGGTAGATCATTTCATCATTATGCATCACTGAGAGATCTTCAGACTCATCTTCTTCCAAAGCCAAGTCTAAAGAATCAGCCAAGTTTGGTTTCCATAGCTCTAACTTGCAGACTTTTACATAGGCATCATAACTAGCAGCTCTAATGCCTTCAGACACCATCTCCTTCAATGAGCTACTAGAACATCCCTCTCCCAAAGCATCCATTGCTTCCAAGAGGGCTTCAGAGAAGCCCGGATTCCAGAAAACAACTGCGCAGCTGTCATCCACCAGCCGAACATCAAATTCACCAGCGAAGACTACATGTTTCCTGTGCAGAAGTCTTTTCAACTGGCCAGTAGAAATCCCACTCTGAAATCCCCACAGGAAGACCATGTTTTTGCTGCTAGCTCTTTCGCGTCGTTTTGCCCATAGTCCAACTTCTTCTTCTTCATTAGTAGAACCCTGGTAACCGGTTGAGCAAGAATCGAACATATTTGCGTAGCATTTTAGAGCCGGAGGCAAATGGGGATGGCCCTCTTCAATGGCTCCAGGGGTTTTTGGGTCAATTTTCAAAATGAAGCACAACTTCGCGAATAACTCGCTTATCTTTACAACACTGTGGCCTTGACTCCTGAGTTTGTCTGCATCGGATGCCACAGCTGTGCAAATTTAGCCACGATTCAGAATTGGTTCAAGCAACTGGTCATAAAATGATTTAAAAATTTCGATAATCAATTACTGCTGTAGTCAAATTCTGTTAACTCAAAAACATCAAGCAACCCAGAAAAATAATCCGTTATCATCTCCGTTAAGGTCGGTGAGTCAAGATGTACGCAACTTTACCCCACTAGCACAGAATAAAAGCCAGTTTGGGGTAAATTATGGTATAGATTCATTTATCATATAACGGCTTTCTAATGTAAATACTCTGTATGTGAATTGCTCTTTGAAAAAAATTATCAATTAGGTGCATTCTTAAATAATAAGCATCTAAAGTGTTTTTTGGCTGTTAAAAAGAAGTAATCCATGCATCATAGTATCCCATATCCCTATTAATGGTAGAAAAAGTGGAGTGGAACCGCAATCAACAAACAGCGATTGGGGAGTAAGACTATTGACAAATTCATAAAAGAGTGCTTGCCTTGGTGGGTGCTCTCTACTTGTACTGGGGCAAAAAACCTGCTATTGAGGTATGATGTAGCCACATATATATTATTCAAATTCTTCTGAAAGCCAAGCTCCTTAATAAGATGTTTCACATCAAGAATGTGAGGAAAGACAGAGCCCAATGAGTTTCTAAATTCATCCAAGGTTGATGGTAATGGTTCAAAGAATTTTGAATGAATAAATGTAAAATCTGCAATTGGAAAAGTTCACATTAAGCATGCAGCCAAAACAATGACGTTTATAACATGGAATTAAACAAAAAAACAAAGAGATTAACCATTCATTGAATTGTGGGCAACAACAGGCTTCTGAGAACTGGCAATCAGTTCAACCACTTCACGAAAGCCACGAATACGCTTGTTATGTTCCTTTCCTATGTCTTGAAGTTCATTCTACAATAGAATTAAGAAAGTAAATAAAACACAAGGTGATGGATGACGGATCAACATTCAACTAGAATAAAATACTAATATTTATGTGTCACCTCAAAAAGAAGAAGGAGAAGTAGAATACCTCAAGCACAAGATTCACTTGTCTCTGACTGCAAGTATCTATGTTCAAGCAGGGCCTAGAACCATGCACTTCAATTGCAGAGATCATTCTCCTCAATGAACTAATTAAAACATCTATGACATGTTAACATAGATCAGAAATGAACTTTCAACATTAGGCAAAGCAAATTCAAATCACCTTCGGGTTTCTTGCCCAAATCATTGCAAGCATCTATCCAATGTTTGACTCGGGATTTGATCCTTTCTACAAATATAGAATCAGCCACTGATCGGGATGGTGGAGATAAAATTGTACAGCTGGGAGCTGATGGATTCCTAATATGATCTTTTGCAGCTACTTCTTGTGCTCTGGATAAGTATGATATGCCTGGCACAGTGGACCTAACAAATTAGATGATGTTCTAATCTTTCCTCCCTCAACTCCTCACGAAAAACGTCACTACTCACTAGCCTAAATTACTTTGAGATTTAGAGCCATGTTTTTCCTAAAATCTCTACTGTTGCAACCGTACCACGTGAGAAACATAGACTGTTTTTTTAGAACCTTGATGCATTGCTGCATTTATTGGCCAAAATTTCATGGAAAGCAAGAAGCAAGGAAGTTTAATGAGTCATTTTGATTTAGTTCATTCTTTACTCAAAGCTAAAACATTGTCAATATAAGTTTTCTTATATAAGTTACTACAACATCAAAATAAATTTTGAATAATGTAAATGAAGCAATTGATGTATAAAGTACCATGTGAATTAATATAGTCCCTCCGTCCCACTATTTTTCGGGACATGAGAAACGTACGAAAATTATGAAAAGTAAGATTGTGTTTTCTATATTTATGTTAAAAGGTAAGATAACTTACGAATAAATGTGAACAAAATATGACACGGGATAAAATTTGTGAGATGGACAAAAAAAGTAAAAATGAACAAAAATTGAGGGGTGAAAAGGGTATTATTTATACTTCTAATAAAAAGAAGAACGTCAATGAAGCTCACCATCATCTATGCAAGCATTAAATTCGAAGCCTTCACGTGCAAGTGACACCAGATAAGATGGCTGACAAGAAAAACTATAAGAAGGCAACCCAACTTTCAACTCATCCCGAGGGAACAAATGGAAATTGTATCTGCAATGGAGACGTAATAAATGTATCATCTTTCAATGAAAATTCACAAAACATACGCATATAAACTTAAGTACATAGACATTTTTTAAAGAGGAATTGAACAGTGAAGAATACTTACGGGTGAGCAATGACTTTGGAGGCCCAGAAGGAGAAAGGGCAAACGGCGAATTGAAGAATCTGGAACCTTTCGGCGGCGTGTCTGGCTTTGAGATAACCGATTTCGGCGGTGTCGAATGGGAGATGACGCTTCCAGGGAGAAGAGTAAGCTCCGGTCGTCTGTAAGGAAACGGCGATGAAGTCGGAATCGGCGATTCGGGCTCCGATCTCGTCCAGTGACTCGGAGAGTGGTGTTTGTTGGGGAGAGTGGAGGGAGGAAGAGAAGAGGGAGATGGAGGGTATTTTAAAAGTAGGAAGGAATTTTTAAAAAAAATTATGGGTGTTTTGAAAATAGGGTAACGGATACGGACTAATTTCGATTCCTTTTTGAAAAGAGAGAAATAAAGTGAAAATTCTTTTTACGAAATTTGTGCCATAAAACTCAACCAAAGTATTTCCAAAACTTAACCACTACCAAACATTTCAAGGGGAAGTTGGAGACCAAAAGCTTTCGAAACAACTGAGAACCAAGACACCATGTACCTATCAATAGCCACTCCACCAAGTGCCATTGCAGATGTGTCCCTACTAAAGAGCATCTTCATCCACTCACTAGTCCCACACGGATGTAGCGTGAACCATGGCTGGTTCAGGTAAGGGTGATCCTGCGCAAATTTCACACAATGTATCAAAGATGTGAACCTGTGGTTAAAAAGTAAGATTAAAGGGATACAAATACAACTGGAAGTAAATCCTCCCTCCATCCCGTAATTACGATCTTGTTTTCTTTTTACGGAAGTCTAAAAGATAAAGTTCCCATTCGTACAAAAGGCAATTCTTTATGAAAAAGAATGTAAAACCATGCCCCTACTTTATTATTGTCACAAAACAATAAAGTATGATCAGAGTTGGAAAGAATGTCTAGCCTAGAGATGTGTGCCATTTATCAAAGGAGAACTTNGTGATTGCAGGCATGTCTGTTTCTACATCGTGCAATGCCAAAGGTTGTCCATCTGAGGCGAGACAACAATCAAAACATGTATATGAGCTCGTGTCTATGTAGGAAAGAAATTGGGGGGGGGGATTCTTGTTTATTCCTCTCCACAAATCATATATTTTCAAACTAGATGACTTTTCAGCTGAAACAAAATAAAATGATACTTTTACAGTTCTACTTTCTTTTTCCGATACTATGATATATAGTTGTAAATGTATTTAGTAAAAAGTACTTTTAAGATGTATTTATAGCCAAATCAACTTATTCAACAATTTCATCCACATTAGTCGGTTTGGATGCTTATTTTGTCTATGTACGTACTTCGCCCATGCCACAGTTGTTTCTTAGTCCGTACTTCTATATTTGAGCTGGGGATCTCTTAGAAACAAAATCTCTACTATTTAGTAGGGGAAAGGTATACATATACACGCTTCCACACCCTACTTTTTGTGGGATTTTGCCGGGCTTCTTGTTGTTTTATAATTATAAGCACTCAAAGGGGTTAGTAAGAGGGGTTGAATACTTGGATATAATCCATAAAACTGAATGATTTGTTTGGAGCATAAAATTCATTGAATCAAAACATACCGCTCCAGTATGCTCGGAAATATAGAACAGGGACGCCATAGGATAAGCTGTAAACAATATGTAAGTCATAGTGGCACCTTTCATGCCTCTCAGGTTGAACCTTTAAAAGAGAAGCTTCATGGTGAGATGAGGACATATTGAAAGATCATGCATTTCACATAAAGATTCAAAGGAATTTTTTTTTCTAAAACACCAAAACAAACAGAACATACAGACCAATGCAGCACGGTCAATAAACTCCTCTTCCTCCAAGCAAACCGTCTCTTTTAATCCACCATCATCGCATTCATGATTATCCTCCTGCAGCGAAATATAAGAGAGAAAAAAGTAACCACATTAGGGGCTTGTTTGGTTGGGGCATGGTGGATTCTAGAGGTGAGGGGAATAGATGATTGGCTATCATTTTTGTACTTTATCTCTATCTCTAAGTCTTACACTTAGAAAATAAGTACTAAATTTTTAAGTAAATCATGTACTTATATACTCCGTATAATTTATCATTTCCAACCATCTAAGTTTAAGAATAAATTACGGAGTACAACAACAACAACAACAGTTGGATCCCATGACAGTAGGGTCTCTGGAGGGTGCGTGTATGCAGACCTTGCCCCTACCCGAAAGTAGAGAGGCTGTTTCCAAGAGACCCCCGGCCAATAAATTACGGAGTAATAAAACAAAAACCACCCCAACCTGTTGGGCAAAGAGACTGGAAGTCCTCGATTAACGAGGTGGGTGAGGTGAAACCGTGAAAGTATCAAGCACATACCATAGTACACCTGCGAGGAGGAATTATGCCATCCACGCGCAGATATCCTTCTACCTGTTTTTTTAATTAATAAAACAGAAATTAAGAAACTTGATTGCATACAATAAACCAATGAGACAATGTCATTCAGAATAAAGAAAGGTATGAGTTGGATACTCGAGATGAAGGAACCCCAAGTAACTTAGGGCATCTGCACCATGACCATTGAGGAAGAGCAGAGTTAAACTTCTCCCATTTCTCAGCAAATGCACAACTGGAAATGTAGAACTCTCCAGATGAAATGGTCCCATCCCACGACCTGATATCGATTGTACTCCTTTCTAATGACATTACCCTCTTAAATTTAATAGATTTTTCATGGGACTGTCTTAATAAAGATGGACACCTTGCACACTACCTGTGTTTTGAAAAGGAGCAAAAAAGGAAATTTTATGAGCTCAGATAGTTAGAGTCTGATAGAGTTGGATAAAGCAGTTCGGAGCTATATAATCTGCTTGGTAAGAGAAGTAATTGTAGAATATATGGCAGAATTTTACAAACTCATGTTTCAATCTTTTTTTATAAATACATTAGGTTTTCGGAATTCACTGGATTGATCTTATGGTTATGACACTCAAAGCCTTAAAGGGGAGGTTGATAGGTATATGTTGAAATAATAGACTTGGGCCCAATTCAACCCCAAATGTTAACTCAAGAGGTTGAGGTATCCAAACTATTAAATAACAACACAATATATGGCTGCATTACAAGTCAACACTGTAACACCCCAACCCGCGTAACCCGAACCAACAAGTTAGCGAATCGGGTTGTCACTAATTTGGTATTCACATGCATAGTATTTTAAAACATTCAATAACGAAATATCAACTCTCATTTATTTAAAAACAATTCATCATTTAATCGGAGTAAATAATTCAAACGTTGCGGAAGCCTTTAAAACAACAACATCAACATTCTTCTAGTTTAAACAAAATAAAGTCAACAACCATTTAATTCAATTTGAAATAGCTTCGGGTCATCCATCAGCGTCACGCCTCATAGTTCTCCAGGCGGCTTCTCATTCAGTCCTTGATCCCTACCTGTAAAAATATAGGGAGAGTGGAAGTATCATGTACTGCGAGTTCTCAGCAGCGGCCCTCGTCATCAAGATCTAGCGAACAGCAGCCAGCACAACTTCGGAAAGTAGGGCGGCTCGACGATTTCAGCGCCAGAAACGGCAGCATGAAGACGGCCAGGCAAACATAGCAAAACCCGAATAGGGAGACAGCAGGAAATAGGGCAGCGGAAAAAAACAAAATGGAATCCAGGCAAAATTTTGAAACCCAATTCTTAGTCCAGATTCAAGTGATTAAGATATTCAACCCATTCAATTCACACAATTCGTCTTTAATTGAACAATCACATATTAACAGACCCTAATCTACGAATCAATTCTAACGAGAGATAAATCACTCACCTCAATTGTATGGCGACGAAGGAACTAAGTGGCTACTAGATCCCGGCGAAGAAGCCCGGCGAAGCTTTCCGGCGACTCCTCGGCTGGACGGAAGTTACGTGCGAAGAAGAAGAAGAGGCGGAGGATCATATATATTGCCGATTACTAATCCTAACCGTTTCTTTCCGTTATTTAATGTTATCATTATTATTATTATTATTATTATTATTATTATTATTATTATTATTATATTCCTAAATCTCTTTACATTAATTTATTGAACTATAATATCTATTTTATTTATCACGTTTTATACGTATGTCTAAATTTAATAAACTATATATTGTTGGTCACCATTTTACAAGATCTACCCGAAAACTTAATTTTTAATTAAAATGGTCAACTTTACAAATAATTCATATTTTGAAGTCAATAAATAATATATTCATTTTTATTAAAATAACGGCTAATTACTAATCCAGGTTTCAGGGCGTTACAAACACGCCCTCCTCACACGAGGCACAGATTACTGCGGGCGCGGTCCCAACACCAATGGCTTAGCTCTGATACCATATTGAAATAATAGACTTGGGCCTCATTCAACCACAAATGTTAACTCCAGAGGTTGAGGTCGATGTGGGATGAACAAGTCAAAAGTATATTGGGAGTTGACCTGATGTACCCAACCCGTTTATTTATGTAATTGTATTTAGGGTCGGGATGCTAAGCCTCGTCCATCTACAAAGAAAGCCAGCTTGAAAGGGATTAGAGCGACCCGGCCGAAAGTGAGGCGGAGGCTAAAAAGGGATTTGGGTAGTGACGCCCCGTAAGCAAGGAGAATCGTCGCGAGAGTGTGGATTGTGGTTGTGGCTAGGTCAGGGAGACCGAGTCACAATCTTCGTTTAGTATTTTTAGTAGCTCTCATACCCATTAATGTAGTATCTATTCAATCTTATAATCTCGACTTCTTAAGTGCAGGGGTGGGGCTCCAATGCTGGATGTGGAGAAGCTTGGGGATGCTTCCTCGCCACTACGCCAACATGGTTCCACATCACTGCTTAGTAGATTCTTAACTGACGGCATTCTGTAATTAGCGCCCCTAACTACGGATCGTGAGTCTAACAATGTTTCCGATCTATCTCATTACTATCAGCTACTCTTATTAATTAATTCTCGGTGTCTTTAACTTCTATCACAGGTAAATATGAACTTCATGGCTTATGCTTTTTGGTAGCTATATGGCATTATCCAATCTCCATTTTTGTGCTCTCATTTGCTAAAACCCTTCAAAAATAACCCAATTTGGGGTTAAAAGTTCTTCTCTTCCCTTCTCATTCGAAAATTTACAATTGGACAAGGGAATATCAAAACGTAGGCTGATAGATGAATACGCGGGAAATTAATAACCACTAAAAAACTAAATAAATAAATAAGGTGATGTAGTCACATTTCACTGTATGTTTTCATTGGAGCAGAGAGAGAGAGAGAGGGATATACAGAGAAGTGGCGGCGGATAAGGAACGAGACGTCGCTCTGGTGCGGGGTCGCCGGCCGCCGGCGAGAAGTGGATAAGCGTCAAATTCTCTCCGTCGTTTTGCGATTAGGACCGATCCTAGGTTCGAACAATTTAGGGAGAACGAACCCGTCCTATAATTTTTAAATGCAATTATTTTTATTTTAGGGAGAACGAACCCGTCCGATAAATTTGTCAATTCTTGTCAATTCATTTTATTTATAAATTGGTATAGAAATAAAAATAAAAATTACTATATATTTAAAAGATATATGGTCATAATTGAATCTCTTTCTTTTTTACAAGATCCAATACACATAATGATTTTATATATTAAAATCTATTAAATGAGCATGACTATAAATATCGCAAAAAAATTTGCCCCCTTTCAGAGTACAAGTATTAAAAAATTCGTCATTAATTACTACATTCTCTGTCTAGAAATAACTTTTCTAACTTCTCAATAATTTTTATTTACTTGTACGTATATTTTTATTGTTAGTTTGATAAAATAGAATATTATCATCATGTTTTGTTTTATAAAACTTTTAATGTCTTTTTAAAATATGTAATTCACATTTTTTTTCATTTATTTACCATTTTGTAAATAAATGATTTTAAAAGAAATAAGATATTATACCGTGTTCAACGTAAGAAATTAATTTATGAATGGATGGAGTATTCACTCGTCACAAGAGATACAAAAAGTTTCTCTTCATACAAGATTTATTTGCCAATAACTTTTACCACTCGAGTAATGGCGAGTTTTGTGGCCCCTTGCATGATTCCGATACATATATGAAAAAAATCAAATGAAGTGAAAATGAGTTCGACCAATTATGAAATGAGATAGTCGTGTAAGGTAATTGTCTTATGTATAAGGAGTAATTCCCAATTACATTAGTCATGATAGGCTTAAATGCTTAATTATACTCTGTAATTTTTTTTGTTTAATATTTCAATAATGCTAGAAGTACAAAGAAAAATTCGCAATCTTACCGTTTACAAGCTTGACTATAGGGGGTCAATGCCCCTAGTAAAATTATATTGACTTATTGAGTACTAATTTTAAAAAAATGAGTTTGTTATAATATGGGTGCCAAATAACATCAACCATTATAGGAAACAAATTAAACTAGAAAAATACAGTACCACTTTATAAGTTGGGGTGGGAGCTAGGTGAAGGGATCAAGTTTAAGGCCTTCAATATGAAGGCATATGTGAAAGCAACTTCCTTTAGCTTTTCAAACCTGCACACAACAAGGAAAATTACTACTTACAAATCAGATCTTCCCATTGCACTCGTAGGCCTAGTTTGGGTTAATTTGATGGTCGGGATTCGATAAAAACACATTTTTGAATGAAACGAGAATCCGTCCTTTCTACCACACTAGTTATTTTTATCATTAACAGAACAATAAGCATCTGACATATGTGACTGAAATCAATTTCAAAGAAAACTTTTCCTTTAAAAAAATCAACAGATTCACATAAAATGGGATTAGGGGGAAATAGGTTAGGGACTTAGGGATAAGGTTGCGGTGCAAATAACCTTTTCCAAAGATCATACCTTCCTGATTTTGAGGAGTGCCCGGCGCTGAATTCACATCTGAATAGTAGTATATTGTCATCAGTCTTCATATCCCTCAACTTGGCTACATACTTTGCTGGTTCGGAATATAAAACGCGTGTATCTATTTAAAAGTAAGGAAAAACACATTATAACTTTCATTCTAGATGGTTAATAAATTATGCTCCCTCCGCCCCGCAAAAACTCCCTTGCTTGACTTTGTGTGGAATAAAAGCGTTGAAAATTTAACAAAATTTGTTCAGAAGAGAGAAGGGTAGTGAGCCACTCATTCCAAGAAAGAACAAAGTGTGAAGTTTTCTTTGGGATGGATAAAAATGGAACGAGTGAAGTTTTTTGCAGGGCGGAGGGAGTAAATGTTTACAGCAATTGCTCTACTTAGCCAATTCTAATACTACCACACTAGTGTAGTACTCCCTAAAGAGACTTTCATGACTCTTGAATTGTTAATGACAAAATGTAAGCACCTATAAGTTTGATCAAATATTGGATTACTGAATATCAATGGTATCACAGGCTGAAGAGTTGATACTACTCTCAGAATGATAATAAAATCTATGCAAAGTTCAAAACATTAGCAAACAGAAAAGATTCAGAATTTCAGATAGACAATTAAGCTTCCCCCATGCACACTTTTTTATTTACTAAGTAAAGTTTAGCATTAAATAATGAAAAAACAAAGTCAGTAAATGCTAGTCATCTCAAATTCTTCTTTTGAACTCCAAAGTTCAAGGCGCATTCACTTACCATTTAAACCAGTTGTGACAAGAACTGCTGGATAATTTTGTGCCTTGACCTGAGAAATTTAAGAGAGAGAAAACATGACAAGAAGGATAACCAAAGCCTATTTTAATCCCATAATACATTTTTCCTCTTGTGATTAAATTTGCAGGAAGCAATTATTATTATAAATTTTAGAAGATGAGGATCTTGTCAAAAACAACTGTTACATTATCAACTGGAGAATAGGACTTAAGGTAGAAATAGTATTCTTCTTTACGAGGATCACCCCATTCCTGCAGAAACATAAAGAAAAAAGTAGCAAAGATTATAATCCCCAGCCTAGTCCAAACATAAAGAAGGTTCCTTCTGTCTACAGTTCCATTGATGATAAAAGGAAAACAAAAATTAAAGCAAACCTCCCACTCAGAAGTTGTTAGAGGAATAGTAGGGTCAAGCATTGTGGTCAGAACATCCACAAAAGGTACTCCAGTTACAGCTGCCTTAAATAAATCAGGGCGTATATTCAGTACAACACCAATAAGCAACCCCCCTGCACTTCTACCATTAATGCAAAGCTTTTCTTTGGTACAATACCCCTTCTCAATCAAATACTCCGCACAGGCAATGAAGTCTGTGAAAGTTTTTTTCTTCTTCAGCAGTTTCCCATTTTCATACCATGGTCTCCCCATTTCACCGCCCCCACGAATGTGGGCAATTGTATAAATGAACCCTCGGTCCAACAAGGAAATGCGTGCTGCTTTGAAATATGGGTCGATGCAAACCTGTAGGGGATGCAACATTTTGTAATTTATATTTGGATAAAGCAGATGAGTGGTATGGTGAAACTCTAATGAATAACAATCTAAGTCCTTCTGAAGGTTTAAAAAAATTAAAATAATTGTCTTTGTATAGTTGATGCATAAAATCCACCACAAATATAATAAAAAAAATTTCTGGATACATAAAACCAACCATCAAAATATAGTAATCACTAATCAGTTATACTTCTATTGCACTTAGTGATGCTCATGTGGGGAGGTGCAAGAGGTTAGCAGAGTTTTACAAGAGATAGAGGTAGGCTAAATAAGAGTTGAAGTGAGATGTTTGGACAAGATATGATCTTAGATAGAGCTTGGAGGTCAATAACTAAAGTTGTAGGGTAAGTAGTCCCCTTGGTAACTTGGATTCTATACTTCTGGGGGGAGTTAGGTGTAGTAAGGTGCCTTTATTGGGGAGTTTTGTCTTTTTGTGTTGTCCTTTACTCTATTTTTGCTTCTCTTATAATATGTTTCTACCTTACTTTCATCTCTTAATATTTGATTGTCCTTAATCTCTGATTATTGTAACATGTTATCATTTGTTTTCGCGGGTCGTTGACCTCGGGGTCATTTAGAAAAATCCTCTCAACTTTGGTAAGGGTAAGGTGACTAAGGTCTGTTGGGGAAATTAATGATAACTTGGATGAATCGAGAGTTGTGTAAACACTTTCAGATTGAATATTTTGGTTATTCACTCCAAAATTCAATCGGATAAAACTCGAAAGTATCAAGAACGAAATATGAGAATTGCTATGAAAAATTCAAACTGAAATTTGACCATGGCCTGCGGGAATATATAAATTTGCGGCACAAGGAGAAGATGCATATCGCGTCTCTTTCCCAAGTTACGCGATCCTTCGCACGGAAGTTTCTTCAAACTCAATGAAGCGTGCACTCCGCACAACCAAACTTTTTTTATGATTATTAGGATACCATTGGTCGTAATTTTTCCAATTACACTAAAATATATAACAAGGTCTGTGCACATCCACCCCCATACCCCACTTATGGGATCTCACTGGGTTGTTGATGTTGTAAGCAATGAGTTCTTCCATGTTAAGAGTGTGATACCTCATACGAACCATAACCATAAAGAAGAAGTGGATCGGAACCATCAAGCTTCACAAGATTCTTATTATAAACCATTGATATGGGTATCTGAGTCCCATCTGAAGTAGTAGCCCATTTCCTTTCAGTAACATAATTTGATGAATCAAAGCCTCCCAACACCTGAATCAGATGATAAAGTAAATTACTATGATGAACATGAATAAAAAAAAATTGAAGTGGTCCATTTTCCTTCTTTCTCTTTGGTTGGGTTTGGGGAGGAGATCAAACAAATGTCACCAAGATTCTTTTTTGGAAATGCACATCAAGAAAATGATAGTTTATAGAACTATAGGCATTAGCCTGATACCAGAAGTTTCTAGAAAATGTCCAACTGCTCCATAGGGATATGAAAGCTATCAGAATCACAATCAATGTCATCAAAACATGAAAGCTTAGCAATCTTTGCAAAACAAGTCTCCTGGATTGATACTGACAAGAGTTCCCGAGAGAGAGAATCCCCAACTAATGCATCTGCAAGTTACAAACTACTACGTATTTTTAAACACTTAACCTATAAAATGTAGAGTACTAGAAGGGAAAAATCTCAACTCAATGTGCTTGAATTAATCTTGCTCAAGTGCGGGAGAGGGAGACTGAAATACCATAATCAAAATGCAGATTAGAGCCCCAGATGCAACCATCATTTTAATTTATGGCCATATGTTCAATTGTTCATGAATTCACTGAAAACTCACCGTGTCAATCTTCTTCAAAACGGAAACTCCGGTGTCCATATCATAGTCATATACAGAAGGAGGAGTTTTAAGGGAGCTATAGTAAAACCTCAAGATGCTTGATGCAAATTGTGATTCTGATGGATCCACAGAGTATATTGGATCAATGAAATCAATAGCCCTGCCACCTTGAAGCTTTCTCAATGGCTCTCCAACATCAGGAAGGTTATAAATGGTTATTTTAGGCAAACCTTGTTCACGCTCATAAACAGCAAGATGGTTGCAAAAAAGTTGTATGTATTGGATCTTTATGCTGCAGAAGAGCACATTATAATCACCATTCACCAACTTGCTTAAAAATTGAAAAAGATGAGCATAGTGGAAAACCAAGAACAATATTATTTATATAGAAGAAAATTAATGACGTGATTTACCAATGAGAGCAGAATTTTTAGACCCAAAAAAATTACGGAGTATGGAAACAAGTCTTCATGAAAAAAATGCATAAAAGGAAACAAAAGAAAAGACCAACATTATTATAATGGTTAACAACACAAACCTACAATCATTTTGTCATATTTTTATTACTTACTATGTTTTAAGCACTACTATAAACACTTCAAGCACCATCAAAGATAACAACAAAGCTGCTACCTATATATGGCTAATAAGTAATAACATAAATGTTGGATTAGAAAAGTATAACCTTGGCCGGTGAGGAAGAAGAGCAGTTGTGTGTGATACATCTTCCACGGGGCATGCAAGCAACTCTGAGTTAAAACATTCATCACTCCTCCTTTGAATAAAAAAGTGATTTCCCCGATGACTAACATATGTTTCAATTCCACTTACTCGCTGTGTCAAAAACACTAACTCTTTTTCAGGTTTTGAAATGTCTAGATATAAAACAAATCTTGTAGTTTTACTCTCCGATGCTAAAAACAAAAATTTCTTGCTCTCAGATTCCTGAAGATCCAATGAAAATCTTTCATCCTTTTCATGATAAAGGCAGGTGTCATGAGCTTGGCTTGTTCTCAACCTGTGCAGCCATGCCTACAAAACACAATATAAATAACAAATTTTCATTGATAGGCACAGTGGTCAAATGGTGCTGATGTTACCTGATAAGTATGCGGCCTTAAGTAATAATAAAAGAAGTCGGACAAAAAGATATAGAATTTTTAACAAAATGTGCTTATTTAGATTTGAGAAACATCAGACATGAAACATGAGTGTTGTTGATTAGTGTGGGATACAAATTATATCGCATCCATATGTATATTAGTTCTAAGGTTTATATAAGTAGGTGCTCTAGTATCAATTTAAATAAAAGAATACAAGTTCATTCTCTCATTTAATTATCTTATTCAACACGGTACCAAATCTGCCTTCATAAGCCATCTCAGACTCCATCTTTATGAGGTGAATAGTACCTTTTGTAGCACAGTTCTAAGCTCTAACATAACCTATGAGCACCCCATGGTCAAATTGGTCTCTTTAGGTACATATTTGATGTCTAACGAGAAAGTTACTAGAACTTTCTTTATACAGCAAGTTTGGATTACAATTCATAACATAGTCAAAATGTGAGCCTAAAAACTCATTAATGAGATCTATTAATGGTTAAACTCAAATACACTTGAATAGTTTTTTTACCAAACACACATGTTGGACAACTAATGAAAACATCATATAAATGAAAACAAAATATGCAAACTGCTCATAAATGTATTAGGATTTTTTTGGGAAGTCACTTAATGTCGTGATGTTCTAACCAAAATCCTTACCTTGTAAGGACGAAGGATTTCATCCATTGTGACATAAACTATGGCCTCATCACCTGCCCATTCAAGTTCTGATGTCAACCCAACTAGAGGCTCCCCAACAAGAGCTTGAGATTCAATGTCAATAATGTGAACAGTATATATCTCATCTCCTTTGGTGTCTTCAGCATATGCCACTAACTTATTGTTGGGACTTACCTGAAAGAAGCAATGGTAATAAAAAATAGAAAAAATCACAACCTCAATAATAAAGCAGAATTTCAAAGAGTAGATGATAAAAGCAAGAAATCCATACCTTAAAGGCACCAATGCAGTAAAATCCGTGGTCTTGAGCTTTGACATTTTCATCAAGAATTACATGCTCTAGTGGGGCATCCGGTCCAGTTGGCATGATATCATAAACAGATAATGGTGCTTCGCGATTCAGGGCAAGGCGTCTACAGTGTTGAGTGTATTCCTTCCCTTGCAGTGTCCGTTCGTAGTAGTAATAAGGGCCAATCCGTTTAGGTGCGGATATGTCATCTTCCTTGATTCTTGCTCTTATCTCAGTGTATATATCCTCTTCCAACTTTTTTGTGCCTGGGATGTCATTTAATCATCATTAATTCATCTTCCAGGATGAAACATCAAACATGTACAGAATCATTGTACGACACGCATTTGTTCCAGTGACGAATAGGAAAGATTTGTTCTTTTTTTTCTATATTGAGATGAATAAAGCACGAACCAGACATGATGCGATCGGTGTATTCATTTTCCTCCCGGAGATAAGAGAGAACCTCGGGGTCCGAGCGGCTGTCGTCGCGGAGCCAGTAGTAATTGTCGACCCTCACGTCGCCGAAAAGCTCCATCTCGTGCCTCACCTTCTTCGCGGCCGGAGGAGTAGGCGCGCAAGCCCAAGTGTGGCTGCACATCGTTCGATCGGAAAGTCTAAATGCGCCGGTGATCCTCTTCGGCGGTGGGGAAAAAGCAAGAGTGTGGGGGGGCGGTAACACGCGGCAGCTTAATAGATTGATGCTGAGGGGACGAAGCATCCGCCGCATTGAGGTTCGTTCATTCAAATACTCTCACTCGTTTGGCCAAAACAATTTCTCCATTTGACTTTAATGAGTGTTAAAAGTGACCAAACTAACCACTTTTTCCATCGCAATGTAAATCGTCTATTCCAATTTTATGCATGACTGAAGGCGTTCTCAATACAATTTATTTGAAATTTTGAGCAAATTAAAAAAATAAATTTGCATTTTAAAAAATTATACTACGTACTCCGTATCAAAAGATCTGTGAAATGAGGAATGACATGAGTATATTATGTTATCAAATTAGTACTCCGTAACAAAAATAGAAAAAGAAAATAAATAAAATTCGACCATGCAAATAGTAATAAAACAGCTAATCCATCAGCTAATTTTGGTGTATGCATGTTTAGGAGGGCAAAATGTATACATATTTAAAACAGAGATGCTCTGTAAGTTGTTTCAGCTGCAAACTAAATGAATTGCAGCATTGTAAAAGACAGAAATTTGCTTGCTGCCATTGCTCAAGAGATTTTTTTCTTCATAATCATTACAAATACAAATTCACTTGTCATATGCTCCACTAGAATTTACAATGTACCAAAAACAGAGTAAAAATTTTAGTCTGCAACATTCACAAGAACAGACCCACCAGCTTTCTATCTCTGAATTCCCACCATGATAGGAAAAAATCAACACTTTTGGCCATAGCCCATTTCATCGACTTGAACACTTTGATGGAGTCAAAGGGATGGTGGCTTCAAAGCTGGATCCTGAAATCCACAATAACATAGCCAAATTATGATACCCACAAAAGGTAGGATCTTGGGAGGGATGTGTACTCAAACCTTACCCCTATGGCCCTACTCGACAATGGAGAGGTTGTTTTCAAGAGATACAATAACTGGCCTTTCACTTCTAGATGGGCACTTTATCTGGCTTATTAGCATAAACTCCAGTGTATTTTTTGCCATATATCCAAGAAATGGTTGACGGTTTAATAAAAGACTACTGTCTGGTTTTCATATTTCATGGTGTGTGTGCAAATAATGGGGTTTTTTTCTTTCTGTGTATTGAGAGAAGAGAGATTTCATGCATTTGGATATGGAGAGGTGAAATTGTGTGTGCAATGTTTGTGAACACGAGAGAAAGAATATGAACCACATGTCTCTTTACATGGAATGAGAAGATTGTTTTGGGATGCCCAACAAAAGGAAAAATGGGAAGGAGTAAAATGTCATGAAGAGAGTTCATACATTTGAATATGGAGACACGCCACTTGGTGTTTGTGGGATGAGTTCGCTGGGTTTCGTAGCAGATCCATTGCTAATCTGTTCACTTCTTTTTATGCCAGAATCCGTGCCTTCTTCCTCTGGCTGGTTTGCATATATACCACTCTCATTCTGTTCTTTGTTTTTCTTTTTGGGATAGACACGAACAGATAAAGGGAGAAGTGATTCTTGTATCTCCTGCAATAATTCAACATGAAATGTAAATAGATGGTTAATTGTGTTTCATTCAATTATAAGTCAAGTCAGGACTAGAACATGAGGATCAAAATCTTAAGATTCACAGTAATCTACACCAAAAATAGCTGAGGTGTATACTCCCTCCGTCCCAAAAAAAACACTTTGCACTTCCCCTTTTTGGAAGTCACAAAGAACACTCCCAACTTGCTTTTAATCCTTTTGAAGTACTCCGTACTAAACATGTGGCTCACACTCCCCACTTTTCCTTTTTCATTGCTTTTTTTAAACAATGCGAAAGTCAAATTATATAATATTTTTGGGGCAGATGGAGTAATAACCTTCAAAATTTTACACTTTTGGTCCCACGAGTCCACGACTATTAGTTTGTTTCCACCTTTGGTATGACTTCCATATTTTGGTTAGCGTATTTTAGTGTAAATATTCAATGCGGCTGTTTCGAATGTATACATGTTTTCCAGACATAAATACTCTGTATATTTACTTTAGGATAGATAGATATATAACCTGCCATCCTTTGTTGCCTCTCAGCCCACCACGGATTGCATAGGCTTCTTTGAAACCATTTTTCACCAACATTTCAGCCACTTTGAGTGAGTTACCATCGAAACTACCTTCCACACAGGAGACAAAACATTATTTGTCAAAACCCTCAAATAACAACAACATAGTATAATCCCAACTCCCTTAGGGTCAAGATGTATGCAGTCTTGCCCCCTAAAAAATAGGGAGGCTGCTTCCATTAAACCCTAGATGCATTGCTTCATTTACTGCCCAAAACTTCACAGAAAGTAAGAAGAAACAAAAGTTCACAACAATACAACAACCCAGTTTGATACCACAAGAGTAGGGTCTAGGAAGAAACAAAATTTTAATGTTCCATTTTTTAAAGCTCCATTGGCAGGGAAACACCTCCAACACCATTAATTATAATGCACTGCAAGACACGTAACTTCATAGCAACTGAAAATAATGTATTTTCAACAAGTATACAGAAAAAAATAGAAACTTTTATGCATATCATAAGGCTCTGCAAAACTCACTGATCTATAATGCAAACTGTGGTGCTTTCTGGCTCCCGAAAGTTCTCCAAAACTTCCTTGACAAAAATATCTTCCTTTCCTTCGACGAAATGAGCCTGCAACACCTTCTTATTCAAGATTTTCAAATTGGGCGAATCCAAATATGCCAAAGCTCTCTTGTCCCTAATATCCAACATCTGACAATTCGGGTCATTCCGGAGGTTCTTGAATGCGTTAATGGCAGATATGAACTTGTACTTCTGCAAGTACTCCTCAGTGAGCGGGATCACCACAAGCCAAATGAACCCAACCCCGAAAAGGAAAAAGGGGTATCTAGTCAAGAAATTATCAATGGAGACCAAAATTGCCTCCAAGTCGATCTTACTGGAAATCCCTTCAGTGGGCACATCGGATTCAGAAGCAAGACACGAAAGGGGGAAAGATAACCCCATCAAAAGAGAGAAGAAATGGGGGTTCGGATGGATATCTAAGAGATTGAAGGATGAGAGATTAGCGCCGGCGAGAGGGGGCAGGTGAGGGTTTTTGCAGTCGTGGGTTTGGGACGAATTGGAGCAATGAGAAGTGAGATTCCGGGTCGGGTGAGATGATCGAAGCGGGGTGAAGTAGGGCTTGGAGATTAGGGTTTTGCAGTGGTGTGGGGAAGGCGGGGGAATAGAGAAGCATAAAGAAAGAGCATCCATTATTGTCGGCCACGCTGTGCTCGGCCGCCGTAGTGTTTGGATGGATATGACTTATGAGGTTGGCGGACTGCGAAGACGTATTAAGAGTTAAGACTTCAGACAGTGAGTGCCTCCACATGGAATTATTGGAAGAGCAACGTTCACAAACTTTACAAACTTAATATTTATTGTTTAAATTTTCATTTTAAAATTATTGCAGAATATTTAATTTTTTTATTAAAATTCACGCATAAGTTTGTGAAGTTTGTGACGATTATATTTGTAAACCAAGCATTTTCCTTATTGGCTTTGACTTCCAAAAATACACCTCCTTAGATCTACCGGCTCTAACTCTTCGTGAGTGAGATCTGCGAAGGCATTGAGGGAGACGTACGCGTAGTTGTCCTTATCCTTGAACACCTTCAGCCGGCGCCGCCTCTCTTGATCGGAGGAATATGTTTTACCGCCGTGTTGCAGGTACCAGTTGTTGAAGAGATCGTAGATTGACGAAGTAGAAGATGACGACCCAAAAATACCGGGAATCCATGCCGCCAGAGACGATTGAGTGAGTCAGCAGCGATTGAGTGAGTCGGCGGTAGCACCAGCGATTAGATCTGACCGATTATCACAAATCTGACCAGAAAACAAATCTGACCATTGAAGTTGGGCAGCAAAATTAGATCCACGATTAGATCAGGGAAGGAAGAGAAAAAGAGAGGAAGAGTTGGCTCGGGGAAAGAAGAGAAAAAGAGAGAAAGAGAAAAAAAGAGAAAAAAGAGAGAAAGAGATGTGGGAAGGTAGATCGGATTGGGGAAGGAAGAGAAAAAGAAAAAAAAACATACCTGGGCAACTGGGCAAGTGAGGGAGAGACGAAGAGAAGAGGGAGAGAAAGGGTAAGGCAGTCATTTCACACTCTTTTTTAAGATGTGGCAAGGTACTTTTAGGACAATGAAAATGAGGAAGTGGGAAGATGGTTTTAGGACGGAGGGAGTATTTTATAGTGGAGTTTTCTACAAATATTCATTTTTTCTAATTCTGATATATTATTATTAATTTGAGAGTTAAAAATGTAATTTCACAATAATCATATATTCTCTCTGTCCCTAAATATTTGTTACATTTGTAATCTCGAGTAGAGGGTGTAAACGAATCGAATCGAAGCGAATACCGATATTTTTGAATTTGTATTTGTTTAGTTTTTTCGAATACGAATACGAATATGAGACGAATTCAAAATAAGGTTTGAATAAATATTTGATTAATATTCGAATAGTTATTGAATCATAAACGAATATTTGAATAATCATATTATGTAATTTATATGATGGACCAACATCAATTTATAATTTAACTTACGATATTCTTTATACTATACTATATTTCCTATATAAAAACATTAATATATTTGCATCTTACACAAATTATATTTTATAAAAATATAACTATTAAAAATCATATGCTTTAGATTTTTGTGTTACATTAATTTATTGAATTCTTAGTATTTTAAATACACTTGATACTACTCCGTATATTACTTTGTTTGACTTTTGATGTTGAAAACATGGTCTGTGTATATATTTGAATATTCGAATATCATCCAAATCGAATATATCCCTATTTGTTTTTGTATCTGATTAATATTCAAATCAAAAATAATATTTGAATTTCAATTTGTATTTGAATAACGCGAATTCGAATCATCATGTTCAAATACGAATCGCGAATCGAATTTAAAATATTTGATTTGTTTACATCCCTATTCTCGAGGTAAAATATCAAGTTTTATCAATTCATTTTATTTGCAAATTCGTATAGAAATAAAAAAATAAAATTTACATGTCAAAAAACTAAATGAAAAAACAAGTGTGATAAATATTTTGGGACGGGGGGAGTATTATTTTTGTTATACACAACTAGTATTTCACCCGTGCGTTGCACGGGAAAATATTAATTTTACAATTTAAGATTAATATAATAAATGAAAAAAATATAAAAACTTAAAATGAGTAATATTTGAAATATAATTTTGTGTGTGATGACCGATATATGATTTTTATATTATATAATATTTTATAGTATATATATATATAAAACATAATATGGTTGTGCAGGTGAGGTGACGGGTGAAGTTTGTTTTTGTAAAATAGAGTAATTGTGGAAGTAATGATGTAATTAATTGATTTTTAGAGTACTCTTGTAAAATTGGAAATTTTTTGGAGTATTGTCGTAAATTTTTCTAGTTTATTATTTGATTTTCCTTTTTTTAGCGGCTTGTTCATTTTCCTTTTCAAAAATGCTGAGTGTACCCCAAAGCTTGCTCACCACACAAATATTAGAAATGCCAAATTTACATAAACTTACTATTTGTGAAGTTAATAAAAAAAATTAAAGAGTTTAAAATAATTTTAAAATGAAACTTAAACCATAAATGATAAGTTTGTGAAGTCTATTACTATTCTGTTCGTGAATATAACATTACTCCACAAATATAGTGTTGATAAAAATTTTTATTAGTGAATAATAAATGTACCCCAAACATCCTCCACCCCAAAAGTGTATCCCAAACATCCCCTCCCCCTCTATCACCACAAAAAAAGGCAAGAAAAATTCAAAAAATAAAATAAAAAATAAAAACAAAATAAAATGAAGAACTATGCTACACTTACACCAAAAATTGTACCCCATTTATACCCCACGGTTATACACAAACATTTTGATGGTTTACGTCAACACAAGTGTTGGTGCGTTAAAAAAAATTTACACGGACTCAAAGTGTTGGTGCATTAATAAAAATTAGTTTTGCACTAACACAAAATGTTAGTGCAAAGCTGCGGGGTACAAAAACTTAGGGTACAAATAGCTTTATCCTAAAATGAATGGTAGAAAGGGGAGTGATGTACATTTGAGGTACACATTTGGTGTACCCCTGACATTTTAGGAAAATGCCAGGGGTACACCAAAAGTGTACCCCAAATATCCCCACTCCCTCCATTACTACAAAAAAATGCAAGAAAAATTCAAAAAAAATAAAATGAATGGTAGAAAAGAGAATGGTGTGCATTTGGAGTACACATTTGATGTATCGCTAGCATATCCTTTAAAATAGATAGTGTGCAAATGGAATAAGTGTACCCCTACTCCCTTAGCATGATTCATTTCTTTTTGAAAAATGCTAGGGGTACAACAAAGGTGTACCCCATTTGTCCCTCGCCCCCTCCATTATCACATAAATGGGAAGCACTTTAAAAAAAATTAAATAAATAAATGATAAATAAAAATGGATGGTGGATAAGGAGGTGAGGAAAAAATGAAGTACACTTTTGGTGTACCTCTAGTATTGATCTTTCTTTTTTTTGTTTGAAAGACTAATGGAACTCCAAAGGTAAGAAGCGGGAAAGTTCGGCGAAAGTGTCCCATCAATATTTGAATTTGAATTTGAACGGTACCCTAACTTTGTTTCGTCCGTCAAAATAGTTACTGTAGTTTTAAAATAAATGCGGACCAATCCAATCCGACGACACAGAAACTCGGAAGAAAAATACGGAAAGAAAACTCTGTCCATACTTAGCTCACTCTCCCACCTATCGCATTTACTTGCAATTTTTTTCCTCTTTCCATTTTATAAATAATACACCCAGATCTTCTTGGGTCAATTCTTGAGTTATTTTTCTGCTATGCATCAAGAATTGGAGCGGTCAGTGTAGCAGAAAAGAAGCACAAGTTCAGAGAATAGAGCATAGGGAGGGTCAGCGGTTCGTTTTCACTGGAAAAACCCAAAAAGGTATGATTTTTTATTTAATTTTTGGGGTTTAACTCGAGGGTTTTACCAAATCTTGAATTTCCCATTCCTATTGTAGATTCTTTTCTTGGTGGCAGATTAATTACTGTTACTGGTATTAGTTTTTGGGGTCAATCCGAGTTTTCTGCATTTCTCGTCTCTGGGTTAAGTTAGACAGGTCTGTTGACTATCGGTTAATCTTGATTGTATTTTTGTTAATTTCCTATATATAGTTCTTGATTTCATAAATTTGGTTTATAGAAATATATAAACATGTTCTTTTTCATTTTTTTTTTATTTTTTTTTTGAAATTTGAAAAGGGGCTATTTGGATTCTCTGGTTTGTTTAGGGTTTGAGTATATTGTTGCTTTGTTCAGGTAGGCAAGTAAGAAGATGGGAAGGAGCTTAAGCCCAATAGTGAGGAAGGAGTTGGAGAATCTTGACAAGGATGCTGACAGTAGGAAGTCAGCCATGAAAGCCTTGAAGTTGTATGTGAAAGATCTTGATTCCAAGGCAATCCCTCTCTTCCTAGCTCAGGTGTCCGAGACAAACAAGGAGGGCGGTAAATGTGCATCGCCAGCTGGCGAATACGCCATCTCGCTGTACGAGGTTCTTGCCCGCTTCCACGGGCCCAAAATCGTCCCTCAGATTGACAACATCATGTCCACCATCATCAAGACCTTGACTTCGAGCGCAGGCTCGTTCCCTCTCCACCAAGCCTGCGCGAAAGTGGTCCCGGCCATTGCGAGGTACGGGATGGACCCCACCACTCCTGACGAGAAGAAACGCCACGTCATCCGCTCCCTCGCGAAGCCGCTTACGGATTGTCTTTTGGGTAGTCATGAAAACCTCTCCTCTGGGGCTGCCCTATGCCTTAAGGCCCTTGTGGACTCTGACAATTGGCGATTTGCCTCAAATGAGACAGTCAACAAGGTGTGTCAGTGCGTCGCAGGGGCTCTGGAGAAGCACGGCCAAACCAACACCCACATGTCTTTGGTCACCTCTTTGGCTAAACACAACAGTTTAACAGTTGAGGCTTATGCAAGGCTGTTAATCCGATCTGGATTGAATATATTGAAATCCGTGAACGGGGAATGCAATTCTCAAAAACGTTTGTCTGCTGTTCACATGATCAACTCTCTGATGAGGTATCTTGATCCAAGAAGCATACTGTCTGAGGTTAGGGTGGTGATTGAGGAGATGGAAATGTGCCAATCTGAGGATAAGATGCTCTATGTTAGAGGGGCTGCATTTGAGGCACTTCAAATGGCCAAAAGGATAATGCACTTTGAGAAAGGGTCTTCAAGAACTGAGAATGACGTAGCCTCAGTCACTGACTCTAATTTTGACAGCCAAGAGTATACCAAGAGGAGGATCACGTTTGGTTCGGGTGACAGTTCACCCGATTCCCCTGAATCACAGACCATTGGTTCTTTTCTTGGGTTTAATTCCTCCGGGGATATGAGTGACGGTCATAGGAGCGCAAGTAGGAAACTTTGGAGAAGGCGCGACAATGGTGGTGTCGATGTTTCTCTCAAAGATGGGATCTTCTCTGAAGCCACTAAATGTTATAATGACATCCAGAACTCTGACAGCGATCAATTTTCTAACAATGGTGGAGATTATGGCGATGGGTTTACTGGGTTTTTTCCAGGGATGGGTCGCAATGGTTTTGCTAGGAGTGCTACTCCAAGCCCTCAGGTATCCCATTTTGAATTCTCCATTCTCAGCTCTGCACTTCATCTCTAGGAAATGGCTGGGGAATAAAAGATAAGAAAAAAACAATCATGATATTTACCACATTATTTTAATGCATCCTTCAATATTTAGCTTGATTCAAACTCCATGCCACTTAAAATAATTGTTATGAAGGACCATATGTACCTTCATTTTCTCATTTTTAAAGAGATCCTGCATTTTCAACAAGCAAGTAATGAACCCTTAATGCTTGAAGTGCATATGTAAAACATGAACTCCACCGGTTTGACTGCAAGAGTATAAGCTGATCTGGAAAATGACTTTTTTGGAACATATGGTGTTCAATGACCCGCAGCATGAAAGAAAAAATAAAGAAAATTGTTAAAATTGGAGTCATTTCCCAAAGAATCACCAAC